AAGCCCGAATCTTCAGCCGCATCTGAAACAAACAAGGCAAATCATGAATTATTAGTATGATTAGCAACAGGTGACAAAACTGGCTTCTACATTTCTATCTAATCCCTCATCCACGTAGTTAAAAGTTCTGTTCTATGATCATTAGGGGCATGGCGTGAATTGCGATATATCGATTTTTATGCCATTTAAACCTATGGAAAATGATCGATGAACAGGGTGTTCCCATCGGCGGACACCTTAATAATAGATTCTTTACCATAGGTTTAAATGGCATAACAATCGATAAATCACAATTCACGCCACGCCACTGATTATTACGCTGGACTTATAAATGCTATAAAGGAAACTATTTGCATGCAACATACTTCCTTTTAGCGTGCATAGGTCCATGATCCATTTGTCCATTTATCTCTTGTCAAAATTTTAGTCAAGGCACCATGCCAAAATTCAGATATCAAAGTTTAGGTATTACTTTTTCAAATTTAAAATGCAGTTCCGTGATGCTTTTAGACTATATCATGCAGCGTTAATTGCAGAAAGGTGGGAAAATAGTGCTGGGTCCACACTATTTTGTGAGGGAAACGAGGCCAAATAGAACTTTTGATTTCTATTTTTTCGAACTTTTTGGCCTTCTTTTCCCAGCAAAATAGTGTGGGCGCAGCACTATTGTACCATTTGGCTTATCTACTACCTATTTTATTATTAATCACTATTGTACCACCTTGTTACATACCGTCCCCTTCTGATGTAAGGGCACATCTCAATTTCCATGTGAGCTCTATTTCGCATATAAAACCATGCTTTCTGAGGCTCATACGGAAATTGCGGTACTCCCTTACGTCAGATAAGCGACAATGCCTCCGGGCTACCTGGGTTTATGGTTTTGTTTCTCTCGTTAATTTCAAGTTTGCATTCAGCTGTAGAGTAACTGAACTGTATAACGCAAAAAGAAACTAATATTTCTGGCTCATTTAGAAAAATTCATGGCATTTATGTCTATGCTACAATAAGCCGAAAATGATAATTCCTTTCTACATGATTCAGTCTACATGATTACTTTCAGTTGAATGCGGTATTGTTCGATAGTAGGTATCACACGAGAACTATGCATAACTTATAGGAATTGCAAATACTTTTTATCTCTTTCAGCAACTGAGGGCATTTAAGTTATGGGTACGATAGAACAAGAAGTAGAACAAGGTAGAACAAGTACATAGAACAAGGTACACATTTTGGAGGGCACTACTTCCGTCTTCAATGGCTCATCATGCGGAGCATTTTCTTCGGTTTTTGCAGACCTGAAACAAACTAAGAAAAAAAAAAGAAAGATTAGTCGGAGCTTAACCTAACTTGAAAATAAATAAAGTTTAGTGGAAGATTTATTTTAAATAGAAGTTGTGTTTTTATATAAAGAAATTTGATAAATATTTTTGTTTGTTTGAATACTATCCCCTTTTCTGTTGTTTTTAATATGATGATCCTTCGGGCTTTTTGTTCATGTAAAATCAATTTGATGAAGCTGATACCCATCTCTTATTCTAATACAAAATTAATTATTTATTTGGAATGTAATGTAGCTAATTTCTACTTTTGTCTTTTCTTTCGCTATTTGTTATGTCGTCGCTTGGCTGCGGGCCGATTGTTGAAATTGAAAGATAAGGCGATAGACAAAGAAGACATAGGGAGTATGGAGCTATCCTATTGGTTGAAACGGGCGGTTCCTTTAGACGAAGGGAGAAAATAATGGACTAATTATCGGGTCCCTCGTAGGTTGCTGCATGTTACTTAGTATATTACCTACCTCTTTTGTCCAATGCAACCACCCGCTATCACAAATAGGATCCCTCTTTATTTCTTTTGTCCTCTTTGACTATAGCTTTGTCAATCAATTTCAATAATCGGCCCGCTGACAGAAGGGCGTAACTACAGATTGAGATGAGCCCGGAAAAGCATTGAATTGTGTGGAAGACAGGGTTCATTGCAAAGTGTAGCTACGCCCTTCTGTCAGGTAGGCGACGATGTGAGCTACTAATAAAAGTCATTTTAAAGTGATTATAAATGATAAAAAAGTGATAAGTAATTAGAAACGACTCAGTGTTTCCTGCTTAATCATGCGAAAATCTATGTTAATATTTGCAACACTAAATATTATTAATGTGAAATTCAATGATCAAATGCGAGTAAAACAGCTTCCGCTGTGAGCGCTTCGTTTCTTGCCGATCTGAAAAAAAAGATAAACAAAAGAAAATTAGGTAGTTTGAGGTTTACGGAATATAAAACGGAAACTAAGCTGAACAGTTTGAAAAACTGTTTTTCCTACTGGTCTGAAACTATGCAAATAGAGGAAAAGTAGTTTAAAGTATACAAGAAAAAACACTAAATA